GGTATGTTTTATCTAATTTAGAAATGATACAAACCGAACATTAATATAAATATATTAAAAAATTAGACCAATTGGGTTATCTCACTTTTGTTACCTGCATGAACTTTATACCGCATATCTCACCACTGACCCATGAAAGGTATCAAGCAAAACAAATTTCAAAACCGTCACTTGACAGTACGTTAGGTGACGCGTATTAAATGTGGGAAAACAATTTAGTTTTGTAAAATCATTTGCGCATGATCAGATGCTCAGGTCTATATCACAACTTCAGTTTTCAAGCAATTCTAATAACTGAATCCTAAACGTCTGACCTTAAATCAGTGTCGGCATTATTTAAGCAATATAGACTCACAGCTTGTCTTTTATCAAGGATTGGATCTTTGACAAAACACTGCTTTAAAAATATATATAATGTATATTTACTTTATCATCAGCTATTTACTTTTCAACCTTTCGGTCTTAACAAGCGTTTAGAATCAAATTCTGCTCATAGGATAAATTACTCCTAAAGTAATTCTACAAGATTTAATTTCTTTATATATATTTAGTATATATTTCACACACAAAAAAATTATTTAGTATTCTACATATGAGTCGAARTAGTTTGTTTCTTAATATAACGACCGTCTTATCGTCTTGACAGGTCTGTTTGGAAACACATATGCCAGTCGTTTCAAAATGGGGTGAGCTTAATTTATTTGGATGGAGCAGCGAACAAGACGRCTTATGGATACTGGAAGCTAAGACGTAAGATAATACAAACAGGCTACTAACACTGAAACAAATGGATAAATTAATGACCAATTCTAGTCAGAGTTAAAAGATAGTATTCTTGACTGATGAGTTTCTCAAATACGTCGTGATACCAAGATTATTAATCTATGAGTAAACTAAAGCGAAAGCTCGGGAGAATACAGTCTAGATTAACATAGTTGAGCTGCAATTGAATCTGAACCTGCAAACATATAAGATTTTATGTCTTTTAGATGCAGTAGCAAGTGTTTCCATCACTTCCTCTGAGATAATTTATTTCAAGCTTAGTAGTATTAACGTTTGGGACCAGGCTCTCGACAAGCACGCTATTCTATATATGTCATATCAATGTGGAAA